GATCTAATTCTAATTCCCAGGTTTTTAAGTTTCCTATCGTGACTGTTCCTTACCTGACAAAATGGTACATATAATTTGTCACTCATTGATTGAAGCTTCAGGAAATCCTCTGAGTTAAGAATATCAGACAAATCTTGCCTTGTCGGGTTTTTGTTAGGATCAAATTGTGTAATCTAGTAATATTTTGAAGAAGAGTTTCCTTTGCCAAGTCATGAGATACTTTTATAAGATCCCTATTCTTTTTGGCCAATTGGGTCTATCTAGAATACAAAACTAAGGGATAATCCTACGCGAATAACATACTTTCAAAAATCTAATATGATTAACTTGCATGTCTATTAGTTTCTTGGTCTTTGTGCAAACTGATGAGTTTCGAAAGTTTGGTCTCCATACCTTAACCCATACATAAGAAGCTATCAGAACATATAATCGCCTATAAGGGTTTATGTATTGAGAAATCGGAAAGGGTTTAACATGTGCTCGCTATAGGACACCAGATAGATTGCTCTAAATCCCAACGTTTTGCCGGATATCGGGTCTTCACGGCAAAACGGAAGTCAAGTGAAATGAATAAAACAAACATCATCCTGAATAAGAGGAATTAATGTAGGAAACTAAGTAAGAACTAAATGGAACGAGAAAGAGAGAGATAGAGAGAGAGAGACAAGGAAATGGAACAGGAAGAGACATTGAGTAGGAGTGGAAGACTATACTAAACTGGAGCTTGTTTTGAACCTAAAATTGTCAACTAATTACGTGTTGTTGCACACACACTCAAACACACATCCACGAACAAGACCCAGGACTACTGAATCATACTCTAGTTTGTTTAATTACACAAAAGTTGTGACCACATCCGCCTGCCTGTATCACTTTGACCACTTACTTGCCAGTAGGACAAGCATGCGTCGGCCAACCGAATCATGTAAGGCCTTATTAAGATTTCAAAGTGAGGTATAAAAAGTAAGAAGGGTCTCAGCTGGCCACTTTTCTTGGTTGAGTGCTTTTTGGTGATTCTTTTCGTGATTAATGGTTTCTGGCTCTGACGATATCCGTGACATGACGCGCAAAAGCTCAGCACGGAGTCATTGGGCTCGTAGGACGATGAGCCGAGGTCTCATTCGCACAGTTCGCCAATCTACGAATCCCCTCGACCCACCTTCTCAAACGACATGTTTTCTATACCGACAATCCCACTACAAAACCTGATATAGAAGCAGCCTAGTTACTCTTGAACTTAATTTATGCCTCTGACCTATGACTAATGACCCATTTGCATCCATGGTGATGTTGCCTAGTGCCAACATGTCGAATCTAAACGTTGCACTACCATAACTCGTTTTGACTCCCGTTGAGAGTGCTGATGAGACCACTTTGGGCGAGGTCTCAACTGAAGTCCAGCCGGGAGGAGACAGCAAGTTTGCAAGATAAGGCAAAGTGAAATCAAGTGGTACTATGAAGGTTTTTCAAATCGTCATGAGAATATCCAATTCAATTAATTACTTTATGCGACCCATTGTGAAAAAATGCTTACTTTATTAGAGCTATATCACGCTGTTTCCGTCAAGGTGAAATTTTCCACAATCATATGAGTAGGCCTCATATTGCAATTTAATTTCACATAGAATTGATTGTCAAAAGGTATTCGCATTTTGGGTGCACTAGACTTCAATTTTGGCCTACTTGCAGGGTTCGAACCCTGATGGGGTTGCTGATGAGAGCACTTCAGGCGATGGCGAAACTCCACTCCACTCCTGTCTGGATGAGATTACCTTTTGTGAAGCCAAGGATATGTGAAATTCATTGGAAATATAAGGTCTACTCATATGACTGTGGCAAAACCAACTACTAGTCCCTTTATCACCTAAAACCAAACAGGATGATCTACGGGTAGTCCCGAAAACCTGCTTAATAAGCGAAAGGTTATAGTTTGATGCTAAGAAATAGCAAGGCCAACCGACCTGGAAATGTACCGAACGGTGGAAATCATCATGTATACTTTGGCAGAGGACTCTGGATAAGGTACGTTCATCTGTGTCTCTCCGGCAATCGGACCAATTTGCGTAAGCGAGGTCACATCATTTATATGACCTTTTTACATCCTAAATCTCATTCGAGTAGATATTTCCATCCTGGTGACCGTGGCTCAACCCTCTCTTTTATAAATGAAGAGAGAGGCATATTTCATCGGTTGTTGTATCATTAGATACGTCTTCTCGCCTCGTGATGTGGGCATCAGGGAGGGATGCCATATTTTTACTTAACAAAATCTTAGATCTTACACAAAGATGCACTTTCACACTTTCTCCTGACCTTCCAATTCCGCCATCGATCTGTGGTTTCTTCCTTAACTTGGACCAATCCGCCCGTTTTCTCGGGAGGAAGATGAGCAGTCAATAATACAGCTCGTATCGACCTCGTCTAAGGACTGAACCTGACGCATGTGGCTCTCATCCAAATCGCCGCCGAACTGGTGTCATATGACGCAAGCTGCAACGTTGCATCGTCTCCGTTGACGACCGACAGCAAATCTGATCCTCTCTCTTCACTCCGCGGTCACATGAAGCATACCTTGAGGCCGGTGCACCAGCCCTATTGACAACTGACAGCCAAGCAAATCCCAGAGATAGCATCTTGTGTCAAATAAATTGGCTAGTTTTTCCTCCATCATAGGCCTTCGGCAAAATCAAGTGATCGGTTTTCGCGATAGTACTTGTTGACTCTTGCAGATCGCATCTTCTTGACTCCCAACCCATAAATTTATGTCCCTCCCTTTATTTCCTATTCTGCCGCTTCGTGCGTCGTCTCGTCCGTCCTACCCACAACACTAGCATTTTTATGTGAATTTTAATGCCGGTCGATCAAGACGAGCCTTTTCTCTGACGATCTGTCTACCAATACAATCACGGTATCTTGTACCCTCTGAACGCTGAACTATTCTAACTTGTCCTTATCATTTTCGCATCCACTCCTTATCCCTCTCGCATACTGACTCTCGCTTGGTCCCAGGCAACTATCGACTTTTTTCTCTGTGATCTCTGCAAATGTCGAAACTCACTGAAACGACTTCGTATTTGATTGTCAATGACTTCTCGGCGCCAGTTTGCTGCAGAGGATCACGAAATGTTGGGTCCGGCTGATCTCATTTTCTCGATTTGGCCAAACTTGTTGAGTTCCTTTGGAGAATGGTTCCTGTGCCGCCTCTACACTCACTTCTTTTTTTCGGGTAGGGTCTATGGTTGGCGGTAGATGTAGGGAGCAAGTCAACAGGCCGTTTATTCGGGCCACATGTACTGATCCTTCACTATGCGATGGACCAGATGCTCTGGACTTCGGTACTCAGTGCCTTACCCGGGCAGCCATTTTCAATCACTCATTTAATGCTCATCTCAATTGTAATCCTCTCCGACATTTTCTGAGTCGTGACAGAATTGCTCTACTCTTCCTCAGGTTCATGCTGTTTTTTTTCTGTAGAGACTGAGAGAAGGCTGCTACATCTTCATTTGCATTGCAC